TCCCGGGCACCAGCACCTGTGGCTGGCTGTGACCCAGGAGAGGAAGAAGCCGCCCACCCTGTGGTCCCAGGCGTCAGCACCTGCGGCTGCAGCCCGGGCGAAACCACCTGCCCACCATCCCCTGCGGCTGCAGCCAGCCTGGGCAAAGTCGGCCTGGGTCCCGTGTGCCTATGGCTGACCAGAGGGAGGGAAGCCCAGGTCCCAGGTGCCTGTGGTCAGCTGGAGGAGGGAATCCTGGGTCCCAGGTGCTGGGCTGAGGCAGAGATGGTTAGGGGCAATCAAGCCAGCAGGGGAGCAGTTAGGGATGATCAGGCTGGCAGGCAGAAGCAGTTAGGGGCAACCAGGCAGGCAGGCGAGCTGTTGGGTACCAGCAGTCCTGGATTGTGAGAGGGGTGTCCCAGATCGGAGAGGGTGCAGGCTGGGCTGAGGGACCCTCCCACCCCCCGTGCTTGAATTTTGTGCACTGGGCCTCTAGTATTGATATGTGAGAGAAACATAAATCAGTTGCCGGTGAGGGGGATGTCCAACTGCCAGTTATCCCCCGAGGGATCCCAAATTGGAGAGGGTGCAGGCCCGGCTGAGGGACACCCACCCCCCCATGCACGAATTTCATGCACCAGGCCACTAGTGCTGTGTAAAGCTGTAAGAGGCAAGCATTCTTCATGATTTTGCTGTAGCCTTTCAGGCCTATCACCTCAGGAGAAACAAACGCCTTGGCAGCAAAGCCCTGGGGAGTGTGGGTGATAGTCCTCGAGTGCTAGTGACCTTTGCCCATTCCCAGCCTCAGAGCTTCTGGCTGCTGCTGTGGCTGGCCCGAGGGTCAAGTCCACACAGGGCTTAGTCCAAAAGGGCAAGAGTGGGAACACAATGAATCCAGTCACTCTAAAGCAAAGCTACATTGATCTTTAGCTTTCATTCACTCACTCATTCAGTTAACAATTTTTTTTAATCCTCACCTGACAATATGTTTCTTTATTGATTTTTAGAGAGAGAAACATCAACATAAGAGAGAAACATTGGTCGGCCACCTCCTGTGCATGCCCTGATTGGGGATCAAACCCACAACCTAGGTATGTGTCTTGACCGGGAATCAAACCCCCCACCTTTTGGTGCCTTCAACCAACTTCAACCAACTGACCCACCCAGCCAGGGCTACCAGAATGTGTTTAAAGGGTGACTTCTGCCCAGCCAGTGTGGCTCAGTGGTTGAGCATCGACCCATGAACCAAAAGTTGCCTATTCCATTCCGGGTCACGGCACATGCCCTGGTTTTGGGGTTGATCCCCAGTAGGGGCGTGTAGGAGGCAGCGGATCAATGTTTCTCTCTGATTGATGTTTCTATCTCTCTATCCCTTTCCCTTCCTCTCTCTCTCAAAAAAAAAATCAATAAAAACATACCTTTAAAAAAATAAATAAAGGGTGATTTCTCCTCTTTTCAGTCCTGGTAATAGCCTAGATAGAGAGGGAAATGGAAGACTTCTCGAAAATCACTGTGAGCCTGGCCGGTGTGGCTCAGTGGTTGAGCACTGACCTATGAACCAGGAGGTCATGGTTTGATTCCCGGTCAGGGCACATGCCCGGGTTTCGGCCTTGATCCCCAGTGTGGGGCCTGCCGGAAGCAGCCAATCAATGATTCTCTGTCATTGATGTTTCTCTCCATTTCCCTTCCTCTCTCAAATCAATAAAGATAAGTTTTAAAAAAATCACTGTGCCTGGAAGATTGCAACTTGACAAAAGTAAACCTTGAGAGATGAATTCATTAACACACAGAGCAAATATCAATTATTTTTAGCACTGACAGAGAACCGAGCCCTCTGTTCAATTTATCTGATCATCAAGCTCTTAAAAAGATATGCAAAGATCTTATTTTGATGGTTTGCATTGTGTTATATTTTAATCTAAGACATTTTCATTTCATTTTTACCTGTTTAACCTTCACAGCTGAATTTATAACGAATCAAACCCCAAATGAAGCCCATTAACCCAATTTGTGAACACACAAATTTCCCAGAATGTGGGGAGCAGCTATAGGGTTAAGCCTCAGACTGACCTGTTGGCAAAGCCAAAACAAGTCCCAGCTTAGAGGGCACAGCCCTCTTAGCATAATTAGGCTTGTTTTTATGAGGCTCCCTAGATCCTTCCTGGGTAGCTAATGGGCTGTGGGAGGTGCAGCAAGTGCTGCCAAAACAAGTGAAACTCACAACACTGTAGCTATGGAGACCACTACCTTGTTTACCTCTGGCTATAAAATAAAGCCTGAGCTTGCCCTCTGTGGCCTTAGCCAGGCACAGGAGATCCCCCTAGCCCCAGCTTATTCTCTTCGTCTGTCTTTTCTTCAATCCTTTGCTCCCCGTCCCCCTGGGACCCCTCTCCCTGCCCCAGGCTCACGGAACCCTTGGCTGTGCTGGCCTGGCACACCAGAATAGTGTTACTTTCAAACATTTTATCCCATATATCATAAATCTGTTCTTATCAGACTATGGAAGTTTCAATCACTTTAGGCTTAATAATGTCTCATCATCAATGATGAGAGAATCATGGACTGGTTGCCCCCTCCACGCCCCGCACGAGGGATCCTGCCTGCAACCTGGGCATGTGCCCTGACGGGGAGTTGAACCATGACCTCCTGGTTCTTAGGTCGACGCTCAGTCTCTGAGCCACACCAGTCGGGCTGCCCAGATCGTTTTTGTTGTTGTTGTTGTTATCTTTACTGTTAAAAGTATTGCAGATGTCCCCACTCGTCCCCCAGCGTCCCCTCCAGCCCCCCGTCCCCAGGCTCCCACACACTGTTGTCTGTGCCATGGGGTGTGCATATCTGCTTGCAAGCTCTTCGGCTCACCTCTCCCCACCCACCCACCGTCTGCCTCCGATTTGTGTCTTGGCTGTGTCTAGTTTATTCCTCAGCAACGACTGGGCAGCTGACAGGATTTAAAAAGTGACCTGTGGCCCACACATACCTTTCCTTTGGCTTACAGTTTTGAAACTGTTCAATTTGTTTTAAAACACTGAAAATGCAGCCATTTTTAACACAAAAATCCCAATTTCTGACCCCTGCTAAAACACATAGTTGGTCCGCGTCTGCACTCTGTGTCCGTTGCTATTTGGCATCGTGCTTGTGTCGTTTTCCTTCCCTGGAAAGACAGTGGGGAGTCCGTGACCCGGCCCCCCACACCGCCAGCCCTGCCCAGCCAGCGCCATGGGCCTGTTTGGGGTGTCCACGAGGGCACAGGGCACAGCCGGCTGTCCAGTGGTCAGAGTGCGGCCACCCACCCAAGGGTCCGTTCGATCTGGTCAAGGTCACGTCGTCGCACCTCAGTAGACTGTAAGCTCATCCCAGCTCGGTCCCAGGGTCAGGGTGCGGCTGGGGGGCCACCAATCAAGGTGTCTCCTTACATCCATGTTTCTCTACGTCTCTACCCCGCCCTCCCACTCTCTAAAAATCAACGGAAAAAGATCCTCTGTGGGAAGCTGCCTATTGTCTTCACTAGCAGAGAGGTGTAGACAGAGAACCGGAAGGCTGGTGACCCTTGAAGCTCTGGCAAAGGTCAGAGCTGAGCACCCATTGTTAGTCCAGACAATGGTAGCGGAAGCAACTTCCCCACTTATTATTATGTAAATCCTTGCTGATGGGCTAGTCTGCCTGTTACTGGAAATTGACTGCCTAAGGGCTATGGACATATTCTAAACCAATAAAAGTTGGCACAGCCTGAGCACCAGTGGAAGTCCTTCCCTTGAGTTGGACTTGTCTGCCTGGCCCCCCAATATTTCCAAATTATCTCTGTCTTGTATCTTTCATTTGCATGCGGCTCCCCTTCCAGATCATGAACCCTGAACCACGCAGAACGTGGGGAGAATCAAACAAACACATAAAAATTTACACAATCCTCGGGTGAGGATTAACACACAAAAAGGGCATAGTAACTACACTGGTGAACAAAATCAGACTTTCCAGGCTCGAATGCAGGCTTCCACAAGCGTGCCTCAGTTTCCTTATCTGTGAAATGGGGACAATAGCAGCGCCTCACCAACCTCACAGGCTTCAGTTAAGAAATGCAAAATGCTTAAGGCAGTGCCTGCTGTTTTAATAAAAGAAAAGAAAATGATGCAGGGGTCCTGGGACCATGTCTACCTTTGCACTGAGTCCCAATGGCCAGCAGAGAGCTTAGAGCAAAAAGGGAATCAATACATATTTGAAATGAATAAATGGGACGGGGATGTCTAACGACCCAGCAGTGTTTGGAGTAAGGAACTGATACAGGAGGAACACGCCTTATGTTTAGAGCAGCTGGAACAGCAGAGGGTGTGGAGCGGGAGTGGAGGGGGCTGAGGATGGTGTGGGGTGCCGTCCTCAGAGTTTCTGGAAGGCCGTCCTGGGGGAGTGTAGATTTTTTATAGCTTCTCTGGGTAAAATTAGAAACGGGTCAATCCATCAGGCGCAGTGAACTAGGACTGAGTTTCCTGAAAGGACATATCTTGGGGGACTGCAGGGTGCAGACTCCGAAGCGGGAATTCTCCTATAGCGCTTTATTTATGTTTTTATTGATTTTTAGAGAGCGAGGGAGAAGCATCAGTGATAAGAATCATTATCAACTGACTCCTGCACGCCCCCTACTGGGGACTGAGCCCGCAACAGGGAGCATGTGTCCTGACGGGGAATCAAACCCGCGTCCTCTTGGTTCCTGGGTCCAGACTCAACAGTTGGGCCACACAGGCCGGGGTCTACTATAGCGCTTTCGATTAAGGCGTCCTATGATTGGTGAAAATTTGGCGGGAACAGAGGAAAACGCCGAACAAAGGAAGTGACGTCACGTCGCTTATTGGTGGGGGTGGGATTATATGGGCTTGAGATCTGGTATTATTGGATTGGTTATTTTTCTGAGACGCCAGCGGCCTCGCGCAAATCCTCGCTTCCGCTGACGTAGCGTGCGTGCCCTTAGTAAAGATGGCCGTAATGGCTTCCGGTCCTACTTGGAACGGAGTGCGCGACTTCAGAAGCCAGGCCAGCAAAGACCGGAAAAAGCGTAGGATTCACGAGCATTGATTGGCTGACGAAGGAAGCGTTCTTGGACCGTGATTGGCTCCGCCATTCGCGGGAAGGAGTTTGTGGCGCCAGCGAAAAGTACAGTGCTGCAGCCGCAACAGAGTTCTGAGGCGTCCGGCGAACCCAGAGGACCGGAGCCCTCTGGGCGTCTTTCCTGAGGGAGTCGTGACCAAGATGTGGAACAGTAATGATAAATGTGGCGGAGAATGAGAATAGCAAGAATTTAGCAAAGAGAGCGGGATCGGAGAGGCGTGTGGTGGCGGGAGGGGGGAGGGGCGGGAGCCGAGGCCGCGGCGATTGGAGGCCGCGACGGGTGGTCGGGAAGCTTAGGGACGCGCTGGGAGTGTTTGGGTCGAGGAGCGAGGTGGGTAGGGGACTTGTGGGTCGTTCAGAAGCTTGGAAAAGCGGCTCAGGTGCTAATGCGGTTGTTATTTAAAACCAGGTGGATTTGAGAGCTATGGCAGCGCCACCTTCGGGGGAGCCGGCGGCTACACCCAGTCCCCCGGGGGCTTTGGATCGCCGACACCTTCTCAGGCTGAGAGGAAATCAGTACGTGGAAAGAATATTTCGTTTTTTTTGGTCTGTCCTGAAGCGCGTAATTCACCCATGGGAGCAAATGTGTGCGGCGAAGGAAGGGTGGTAAACATGAGCTGATTTGATAACTACCAACTATTACCTTGCTGAATCCCCTAAGTGCTGTAAGTTTGAAAAAAGGCATCTCCCCAATTGTTGCACTCACTGCGTCCTTGCCTTTATTGTGAAGTTTACTAACGTAGCCAAGGCCTAGTGGGAGAACCGAACTCGTGTTATTAGCCTCTTTTACGACCTTTTTGTGTTCCGAGTCGTGTTTAAGTTAAGCAGAGCGAGGTGACACGGTGCGGTGCAAAGAGCGTGGCCTCTGCGGTCAGTCAGGCCTGTCCACCGTCTTCCTCACACGTGCCTCGCCAGGTTGTCGGACAATATGAGAACCTGTGTGACACGCCGCCCCGTAGTCACGTCGGTCAGTGGCCCCGCGTATTACTTAAAAGACCTGAGCGAGGACCATAATGCATCGCGCCCGAATCAACGGCCTTTTAACGCAGCGAGGGAGTGGAGCGGTTTGAACCCGGGGTCTCGGTGGCCCCTGTGGTTTCTCCACCTGATGCGGTGCTGGTCCTTCTCCTCCCCGGGAGCGGGTGAATCGGCCAAAGTCGGAGGAAGGAAGGTGAAAGCTGGCCACGCGCCTGTTACGCGCTCTTGTGGAAAAGGAGTTTGCGTGTAACAACCGCTGTGGGTTCCGTCCTTTCGGTACAGGGTCAATGTGGCCTCTTAGGTGCCGTTCAGAGGTGTTAGCAGCTTCTGTGTTTGGCGGGCCGGTTGTTAAGCTTTTACCTACACTGAGTTCTGGGGTGGGTGTGGGTGGGGAAGAATGAATGCATCGGTAATTCTCATACATTTGGATGTTGCTTTGTGTTTTTCATGCAGCTTGTTTCATGTAATGCTATAAGGTGTTTGTTGCTTACTCCCTTGCACCACACAGGCTCGGGGAGATGAAGGGACTCCCTAAGCTGACACAGCGAGTAACTGGAACCAGACGGAACACACGAGATGCTGAGCAAATCCAAAATCTGGTAGACAGCCTCTCTCGGTGGTAGTTTTTGTGTGTGTGTTTTTAACCCGGAAAGACCAGAGGGGACTCCAGTTCTCTAATTTTTCCTCCTTGAGGCTGTGAAGGTGAAAACAGAAGCTAGATAATTGATTCTCATCTTTCCGCCCTACGTTTAACTATTTTTTCTTCATTCCAGTTGTTAGAATTTTTATCTCAGGATTCCTAGCATGGGCTGTGTTTTGAGATAGCTTTTCAGAGAATGATGATGGTTATAAGCTGAAGACTGAAACCTAAGTCTTTTTGTGTTTAAAGTCCAGTGCCTTTCCCACAGTAAATTAGATTTAAATGTTTCCTGTTGACTGTAAACCCATTATATTTTATTGAACCATGAGAAATTTCCAATGTTTCATCGATAAAAATGGTGGTTTCATACAGTACTTAAGAATATCCTGTGGTTCATAGTCACCTAGAAAATTATATTTTCAAAATTGAACATACTTGTGCCTGATTCACTCTCTGAATCTTTTTGGTACAAATCAGGCACTCATTGCAATCAGTTTCTGGCACATAATAGGTGCTCATTAAAAAACAGGCTACAACTGATTTGAGATGAATTTGAAGGCATTTCTAACACTTTAGTAATTACCCATACATAACTTTTTTACCTGAGGAGTAATTGTATTTATTAAATACCTATGTAGACATTGGTGTTGTCACATTTGTATAAGTTATATGTTTCAAATGTCCTCATTTTACAGAAGAGGTGGTGGTGTGTCAGGGCTTGGAGCTGGGATTTGAACACAGGTCTATAGAACTGTCTGGCTCCAAAGCCCATGTTCTTGCTGCTGTTACTGTAGTGATTTTTAATTTTCTTATGCTGCAGATACAATAAAACTCTCGGTTGTGAGAGTTTGAGAACTAAATCTGGGACCTCAGCAAATTTTCAATCTATAAATACTAATATAGCATATAACTTCACCTATAAAATGCTGTAAAGTAAAATTTAAAAATACAGTCGATTCCTTCACATCCTTATTAAAAGCTATTTCAAATGTAAAGAGTGAGGAACAATAGCTGACACAATAATTGCTGACATTTATTGAGTATGCATACATGAACCAGGTAGTATTGTAGGTACTTCACCATATATGTAATTTTCATAATGATTTTGTCATTCCTAGTTTTGTAGATGAGATTACTGAGGTACAGATGAGTTGAGAAATGTGACCTAAAGCACACTGCTCCTGAGTGGTAGAGCCAAACTCTTACCCTCAGGTGCTGCTTTTTGTGGTATATGTTCTAGTGGTTGGCTGGACTTATTTTCTACCATCTTGCTAATACTCACCATTCAAAATTATACTTCAGCAAAGTGAAATGTTACTAGTGTCATGGACCTTCGGGGTAAAGCTGCAACTGCTAAATCCTTGAAGGCCAAGAGTCTACTATGTTTGGTCTTGCATGTAGAACAGTCGTCAGGTTACTCCCTGTTGATTTCTGACAGAAAGAACTCTAATCTTTAACCCACTATGCTCTTTTTGTTTTGACTATTCCCTCTATGATTCTGTGGAAGTGCATATTTGTCCTCAGCCTGTAATGCTCATTCCTCAGCTACTATTTTTTCACTGTCAAATGGTTGTGTTTCAGCCCTCGCCCGTTTGGTTCGGTGGATAGAGCGTCAGCCTGCAGACCAAAGGGTCCTGGGTTCGATTCTGGTCAAGGGCATGTACCTTAGTTGCAGGCTCCTCCCTGGCTCCGGGCATGTGCAGAAGGCAACCAGTCGATGGTGTTTCTCTCACATCGATGTTTCTGTCTTTCCCTCTCTCTTCCACTCTCCCTAGAAATCAATGGAAAAATATCCTTGGGTGAGGATTAACAACAAAAACAAAAATGTTTGGGTTTTAGGGTTCAGCCTAAAATGCTTCCTCTTGAAATCACAATACCATAATTTTTTTTTACATCCCACTAGTGCATCTTATTTGGTACTATATCAAGATCAAGTTTGTTATTTGCATTTTCACCTCCCCTGGGCAACTATACTCATCTTTATGTGACCCAGACAATCCCTGGCCAGTTGCAGGAAAAAATAAGTTCATACTATTGTTAGACTGCTTCAGGATGTGATTTGAGTGCTCTTACTAGGGACTCTTCTGCCCATCACATCCTGTCCCTTCCCTTTAAGATGTCTAGTATAGCCAAGCTCTTATCCAATTTTCCCTAGGACTTCCATTTGGTTGTCAGAACATCTGTCCTAAAGGAAGTCATACCTCTAACTTTTTGTTATATTTTTATTAAGAAATTTACATCAAGCCTTGGTCGGTTTGGTTAACTGGTTAACATGTCAGCCTGTGCACCAAAGGGTCACAGATTCAATTCCTGGTCAAGGGTGGCAAGGACCTCGGTTGCGGCTTCACTCCCCACCCCCAGTCAGGGTATTTGCAGGAGGCAACCAGTCAATGTATCTCTCTCACATCAATGTTACTCTCTCTTTCTCTCCCCTCCTTCTCCCCTCCTTTCATTCTCTCTACGTTGGCCTGGGAAAACCCTAACCGGTTTGGCTCAGCGGATAGAACGTTGGCCTGCAGACTCAAGGGTCCCAGGTTCGATTCTGGTCAAGGGCATGTACCTTGGTTGCGGGCATCCCCAGTAGGGGGTGTGCAAGAGGCAGCTGATTGATGTTTCTCTGTCATCGATGTTTCTAACTATCCCTCCCCTCTCCTCTCTGTAAAAAATCAATAAAACATATTAAAAAAAATCATTGGGAAAAATATCCTTGGTTGAAGGTTTTAAAAAAGGGAGAGATTTAGAGCAAGCTCAAAGTTCTGTCTCCACTGGCCATTTCTCAAATACCATCTCATTTCACCAGGGATGAACAGCTAGCTCCAGCTAGTCCTCAGCCTAAAGCTGGAGTTGCCTCTTAAAAGTCTGTTCAGGAAGCAGGTCATGCTGCCCCCACTCTGGTCCACTCATTTTGGTGAATCTCTAGTGCAACACAAACCTAACCATTCTTCAGGAGCTTTGGAGTCAAACAAACCTGGGTTTGAATTCTAAAGTGTGGCATTTGTTAGCTATATGACCTTTGTTTCCATATGAAGCATAGATAATGAGGCTTGTTTTGAAGATCCAATCCTATATAATAAAAGGTTAATATGCAAATTGACCAAACGGCAGAATGACCAGTCGCTATGATGCATATTGACCACCAGGGGGCAGATGCTCAACACAGGAGCTGCCCCTTGGTGGTCAGTACACTCCCACAGGGGGAGCACTGCTTAGCCAGAAGACAGGCTTATGGCTGGTGAGTGCAGCAGCGGTGGCAGGAACCTCTCCTGCCTCCACGGCAGTCAGACATCCTTCGAGGGCTTCCGGACTGCAAGAGGGCGCAGGCCAGGCTGAGGGACCCCCACTCCCTGAGTGCATGAATTTCGTGCACTTGGCCTCTAGTGTTATAATATATGCAAAGTGCTTGGCACATGTAGCAGGTGTTAAATGAGTGGTAGTTATTATTTCAACTGACTTTGTGCATGCTTTTTTTCAGAGAACCCGAGCCCAGCACATTGTACCCTGTACCATATCTCAGCTGCTTTCTGCCACTCTGGTTGATGAAGTGTTCAGAATTGGGAGTGTTGAGATATCACAGGTATGAATAATGAAATAAAAATTATTTCATTTAAGCCCTAACTGGTTTGGCTCAGTGGATAGAACATCAGCCTGTGGACTGAAGGTTCTCAGAGAAAACCAAACTTTTTTTTCTTCTGACCTAGGTCACTATTGTGGGGATAATCAGACATGCTGAGAAGGCTCCAACCAACATTGTTTACAAAATAGATGACATGACAGCTGCACCCATGGATGTTCGCCAGTGGGTTGACACAGATGTAAGTGGTTTTTAAATCGGTGGGGTATGGAGGTGTTGGATTTCTTTAGTCTTTTTGAAGGTTCTTATTATAAAAACCTATATATATAAAAGGTTAAATGTCCGTCTGTCTGACCAGTAGCTGTGACATGCACTGACCACCAGGGGGCAGACACTCAACGCAGGAGCTGCCATGAGGCACAGTGACCATTTAAAAATAAATAGCACTACGGACCCAGCACCGACAAACCAACACTCGGCTTACCCCAAGTGGGACACAGGCCCGCCACCACCCTGGAGTGACACGCCGCCAAATCACAGCCAACGCTCCCAAGATCCCCGGCGCAAAATGTGGCCCACAGCCCAGCCCCACCCGGAAACGGTCACTGTGGGCGCCGGGTAATGACATCACGTAGCAATGCCCAGCTTCCTCTCCGTAGCAGCTAGCCTCCTTGGAGTTTCTTCAGCCCAGGAATCTGACTTGCTTTATAGGCAGGTGAAAACATTTTACAGTTTAACCAGATGTTTGTGAAGCGCTTTCCCGTGCCTCATCTCATTTGATCCTCACAGAAGTCCTGAAGTAGATAGGAGACTCAGTAGAATCCTGTTTTCTTTTCATTAGCAAGATGATAATAGTGATATTAAAATATTTCTTCTAATTAATTTCCTTTCAGTGTGCACGAATCTGTGCACTGGGACACTAGTAATACATAAGACATCAAAGACAAAATTCTTAAAATAAAAGGTTAATACATTTTATATTGTAAAAGTTTAAAACCTAAACTTTCCAAAATACTATAAACAAGTTAAAAAGGCAAGAGGTAGGAGGCACTAGAGAACAAGGATTTTTATGTTGGCATTGTATCCCCAGCACCTAGAACAATGCCAATTACAGCATGGGCCCTGAATAAATATTATTTAAATAAATGGGAAAAAATTTTGCACATATTATAAACATCAAGTTTTTTATTTAATAAAAGTTCTTACAAAGAAAAAAGCAATTGCATTTTAGAGAAGTAGGCAAAGAAGATACACAGATTATTTATTACAGATGAAATGGCAGCAACAATAAGTTTAATAGACATTAAGATATTTTTAACATACTAAATTGGCGAAGAAGAAAAAAGAATGGCATTGCCCACTTTTTTTTTTTTAATTTTTTTTACAGAGAGGAAGGGAGAGGGATAGAGAGTTAGAAACATCGATGAGAGAGAAACATCGATCAGCTGCCTCCTGCACACCCCCTACTGGGGATGTGCCCACAACCAAGGTACATGCCCTTGACCGGAATCGAACCTGGGACCTTTGAGTCCGCAGGTCGACGCTCTATCCACTGAGCCAGACCGGTTAGGGCGCATTGCCCACTTTTTATGAAAGCAATAGGTAGCACAGCGCCTCTAGTACTTCGTAAGCACTTAATTAGTTAATGATTTGTCACTGTTTGTTTGGGAAAGTGAGTACCATCCTACTCAGATGGTATAAATATAAACTGGTATAACCTTTCTCTAAAATCAGCTGATGATCGCTCTAGCCAGTTTGGCTCAGTGGATAAGAGTGTCATCCTGCGGACTGAAGGGTCCCAGGTTTGACTCTGGTCAAGGGCATATACCCGGGTTGCGAGCTCAGTCCTAAATAGCGGGGAATGCAGGAGATAACCAATCAATGATTCTTTCTCATCATTGATGTTTCTATCTCCCTTTCCCTCTCTGAAATCAATAAAAATACATATTTTTAAAAAATTAGCTAATGATCAAAATCATCCTTCATAAAAATGTTGACCTCATACTCTACTGCTAGAGGTTTACATTAAGGACATAATTAAATACATGTGCAGTTGTAAGAATATTGATCATATCATTATTTATAATAATGAAAAATTAAAAACAATCTTAAAATGCTAATAATAGGGTATTTTGAATTAAACCGTGGTATATTTACAAAATATTCCAAATGATGTAGAAATGTATGTATTGTCACAAAGAAGTGTACCATAAATTGTTGAGAGGAAAAGAGCATGCTATATGATAGTATGCATAGTATAACCCCATTTTTGCAAAGAAAAACGTGTGTATGGAGGAAATAGACTGAAATAAAATGCATGTTTTTTTATTTTTTAATTGGGCAGAGGCCTTTTATTTTTTTTTTTTTAATCAATTTCAGAGAGGAAGGGAGGGGGAGAGAGGGAAACATCAATGATGAGAGAGAATCATTGATCGGCTGCCTCCTGCACGCTCCTACTGTGGATCGAGTCCCCAACCCGGGCATGTGCCCTTGACCGGAAAAGAACCCGGGGCCCTTCAGGCTGACACTAT